GGCATGACCTTGTCTGTTAAAATGAATTTGTATCGAGCACTGTGCTGTCTCCCCATTCTAAGCCATCCTGAACACAACCACAAGATTGATTCTTCCAAAGGTGCAGAGTACTTAAAGATGCTCTCTGCTTAAAAGTCAGAAATAACTCTCCTTTGAACACCAAATAGTCTGAACTTTTAGTGGTATGTTCAAGGCCCTGCCATACACTTTGCTGAAATCCTTCTAGACTTGCCTCCCATTTCCCAATACGAACCCTACTCCACTGAAATTCAACTCCTCCCCGTCCTCCCAAACCAGCTCTTGCTGGTCTCCCGTGACTCCCATCCCCTACTCGCCTCCCTGGCCCATTCCATGTTGACATGGCCATGCAGCATCAGAGAAGTCAGCGCTGCAGCTGGGCAGTGATCCGTGACGTGACGTGACAGTGGCAGGGAATCTCAAGTGAACCTTCCCACCTGAACTGGTGACAAGACAGGTATGTGTGTATGCGTGTATGGTATCACTGTAATATGATGTCTTTAACTCTTTCAGGAAGATACCTCCAAGGGAGATACTGGGTCAAATGCTATTTCTATTTCAGGTTTTTGAGGAACCTCCATACTGATTTCCAAAGTGGTCGTATTAGTTTACGTTCCCACCAACAGTGTAGAAGGGCTCCTCCCTGCTCCACACACACAGCCTCACCACCATTTGTTATTTGATTTCTTGATGATGGCCATTCTTTCCTCTGTAAATTAGAATCTCAGTTTTGCTTTAACTTGCATTTCTCCAATGACTAATGATGTTGAGCATTTCTTCATATATTTATTAGCCAATTGTACTACTTCTTCTGAGAAGTGTCTATTAATTTCAGTTGCCCATATTTTTGATTTGGCCTTTTATTTTGGGTAGCCTAATCTTTTGTTTTTTATATATTTGAGGTAGTCTTCTCCTTAAGGAATAACTTGGAAAATGTTTTTGTCCATTCTGCAGGCTATCTTTTTATTCTGTCGGTTGTTTCTTTTGCTGTGCAGAAGCTTTTGTTCTCTTAGAATAAAACCTGGGCTTCTACCTTATCTCCTGCTGCTCCTTCTCTTGTTTCTTCCACTTCACCCACCTGACTCCACTCTGATAAACTCATGATTTATTTTTGCAGTAGGAGAAAGGGCATTGATCAGTGAAAATAAGTATATGGTTTTCCTGTTACAGACTTCATTGTACCTCAACAAGTTGGCATTCTGATATGTACATTCTTCTCTCATGGGCTTGGTTGGTGTGAATCTGCAGACAATATTTTGCCTAGAGAGCTAAACAGAGACAGACTAATGAGATTCAATCAGTGTATTCCACTAACTGGCCTATACTTTCACTTTACTGCATTTAGTAAGCAATCTTATATACTAATATAGAAGTTTGGCTTTACTGTAACTGTACAACTGTCTGTCATCATTTATTGATAGTGGCTATAAGCTGTCCTAGCAGAGGGGTTGATGGTATCACTGGCCCTCGTTCACACACTGTCCATGTCTTGAGATTTACTGCCACTCACCCATGCTTGGTTAAGTGGAGAGTTAATTAGTTAATTAGTTAATTAGTTAATTAATTACAGAGAGTTAATCAGTTCTCACAAAACAGAAAAGATTTTTGCAAGGCACTGGAAGAGAGCGCTTACTAAATTTGCAAGCAGAAGAAAAGAAACAAGAAAGGAACAGAGTTGGCATTTTTCAGGTTTCTGGCACACGTTCCTCATCACATTTACTGAGGTGTAAAGATGATGATCTAGTAAGATCTGACAAGGCATGGAAAATCTGAAGGAGGACTATGCAATATGGATCTCCAGCTATTGTTATTTATAATTAACTTTGACATACATTATATTTGCCTTGAGATCAGCCAATAGTAGAGTGAAACTATCACAATTAACATGACAGTCAAACCAGTTCATTTCTTTTTTAAAAGTTCTATCTTGAGGGCTGGGGATTTAGCTCAGTGGTGCTGTGCTTGCCTGGCAAGCACAGGTCCTGAGTTTGATCCCTGGTACAAAAAAAAAAAAATTCTATCTTGAGATTATTACATAATGTATTTTATGTATTCATATTTAACATAATTATGATACAGTGCTCATATATGTAATGTATATGTATGTATATATAATTTACATGTTCAAAGATTTTTAACAGTAACTTTAAGCTAGGTATGGTGGTGCACCTTGGAAATCCCAGCTGCTTGGGAGGCTGAAGCAAGAGGATCACAAGTTCCACCCCAGTCCAGGCAACTTAGTGACTCTGTTTTTCAAAATGAAAAAATAAAGGGCTGGAGATGTAGTTCAGTGCAAAGGCTATAGGCTCAGGCCCTAGTACCACAAAGATAAAAAATATAAAAAAAAAGATTACTATAAAATGATGGCCTTTGGAAGAGCTCTGACCTCATTATCATGAAGTGATTGAAGACTAAAATCATTATTTCATCACTTGTATATACTTGAAAGTAGATTATTAATAACTACTGATATCTAGAGCACCAGGGCATTGTGATTGTGGGGGATTTGGGAGGAACACCCAGTGGTGCTGCGGGGATAGACTGCATGGCAGAATATCTGCCCGGTTCACTGCCGACTACACCCTTGGCAAGGCAGCTCCCCCACTGTGCCTCAGTTTCCTCACTGGCAACGTGAAGCTGATATCAGTACTTTCTGCACAGGGCCATTTTCAGAATGAAATTCACTTACATGAATTTAGACCAGTGCCTCACATTTAATAAATACTTGTGAGTGTTAACTAATACTAACCTGGCTTTAGTTACATTTGAAAAAACAAATAAAACTAACCTCGCTCCCAACCGCCCCTTTCTGGAAACATGGGTCAGTACACTGCAATCTACGTGGTATGGCTAAATAAACATGAAGAGTAAGGAAAAGACTTCTGATGTTTAACTTCACAGCACTGCAAAATAGTAGTGAGAAAAATACACTGCTATGAAATTAAGCAGTTAACAGTAAGGATAGGAAAAGATTAAATATCTTTAAAAATAATTACATAATTCATTTGGATGTTTTAAAGCAACTTAAAAAGCAGGACATTTTAAATGCCAGTGTGCTGAAATGGAGATTGTAAAAATTTATGGTGATTTGCCAAGAAAAGCAACTTACTCCCTGAAATGACCAAGTTTATTTTTCAAGTTCTGTCTTAATGTTGGGAAAGAGAAAAGGTATCACTCTTCCTATTTTCAGAATATCTAATGCTATTTTTCATTAAATACTCTCTATATCAAATGTTTTCCATATATCACCTCTTTTTCCTTTTCTTTAAAAAAATTTAATTCAGGAGGTGGAGGCAGGAAAATCATCATGAGTTTGAGGCCAGCCTGGGCTACATAGTGAATTCAAGCCCAACTTAAATTACACAGTGTGACCCCGTCTCGAAAATAGCAAAAAAAAGAAATTAACATGAATATGCTAAAATATGCAAAGAAAGATAAAATAATGAAAAGTCATATATACTTTCATTAATATTTCTATTTACACTTTCCTGAATCATTTTAAAATATAAATGTCAAAAGTTGTATCTCAAATATATCACTTTGCATACTAAAAGTACTCTTTAAAAATATACACAATACCCACTATTATACCTAATAACAGTGGCCTAATGCCTGTCAAGTTTTTTCAGTTGATTCCAAAATGTCTTTGATATCTGGTTTATTAAACTAGAATCAACAAGAAGCCATGTCATTTACTGATGTCTCTTAAACTTCTTTTAGATCTGGAGATTTAGCTCAGTGGCACTGCACCTGCCTCGCAAGCACAAGGTGGTGAGTTTGATCTCCAGGAAAAAAAAAAGTTTCTTTTAAGCTAGAATGACCCTATCTTGTCTTTCTTCCTAACTTTTCTTCCTCCCCCTTCTCTCCCCTTTCCTCCCTATCTACTTTTCCTTTCTTCCTCTCTTCCTCTCACACATGAGACTGGGCCATTTGTTCTAGGTTTTTCTGTTTCCTCTTGGTGTCATTTTAGTCTGCCATTCTTGTAGTCCCTGAGGCAGGAAGACAGATATAAAGCCTTATGTTGAGGTTCTAGACTTTTGGAAGCAGTATTTCAAGAAGATGCTGGAGCTTCATTTTTATCAGGAAACGATGTCAGGTTGATCCACTTTTATCGATGATTACATTGATCTGGGATAAAGTAGGAGGGGCCAGACTTTCCCCTTAGAGTTTCTATTTTCCCCTTGACAACCCGCAGTAATCCCTGAAGGATAATTTGGCACTCTGAATACCCCATCCCCTATGGCCCTTTCACCAAGGGTGTCACTGATGACACTGGCATGAATCAGTTAATTAGGAACTGCAAAATTCCATTGACACTATTTAGCAAGCATACTTTTGTAAAGAAAACTTTCTCATCAACAGGTGCTATTTCTTAAATTACCACTTTTCAGAGTAGATGTTGGTTTCACTGCCAACGGTCACCACCAAGAGCATGTGGCAAATAAGACTGCCTCATCCCCTGCCCCGCTTTAATTTGGCTTACTTTGGGGGAAGGTGACTTTAGTTTTTTTATTTTTGGAGACAGAGTCTTGCTATGTAGCCCAGGTAGGCCTCTAACTCTGGAGAACCTCCTGTCTCAGCCTCCCATGTGTTGGATTTTTAGGCATGTGCCTCCATTCCTGGCTAGGGGGAAGTTGACTTCATATGTTTAGTGTTTTCAATCATCTTGCAGTTTGCAGTCGTGCTTTAATTCGCACATTGTCTTAATTTTTGCCAGTGGGCAGTCCTTCATGTGGGCTCCCGTGTCTTTGAGGATCTAGCTTTTCTTGGTAAGCTCCCTGACTTTCTGGCCCAAGGGGTCCTAATTTGTCATCTCCAGCTTCTGACCCGGCATCGGCCATTTCTTCAATGGGCCCTGGTTCCTTTCAGTGGAGAGTGGCAGACACTAACATCCGGGTGCCAGGGATCTTCACTGCTTCTGGGCCTTGCGTTCATATCTATATTTTTATTTTAGAATTAGCAATATTGAGATTCGTACTTACATAACTTATTCCATGACCGCTGTTTTAAAGGGAGCAAGCAGCGACCAGAGGTGCCCAAGGATGCGTGGCGTGCCCAGGTTTGAATAACTGCCAAGGAGAGGTTCCTTCAGGAGGGGAAGGGGCTTTAGAAAAGGTGTCAAGCTGATGATCAGCGACGGGGTGCGGGAACGTCGGGTGAACAGTTCTGTCTGGCCATAGCTTGTAACCCGAAGGACAGGACTCACAGGCACAGGCAAAGAGACAGACTCACCGCCTGCCTGACAGAGCTACCAAAACAGCATCCTCTCCAGCTCAGCAAACCCTAACCTGGGCGTCTTAATATCCGCCAATCAGAGAGAGCTTTTAGTAAGAGGGCGGGACATCAGACGAACGTGTCCAGTGAGAGATCAGTCAGGGGTTGCCTGAGGACAAAACCCCAGGGCAGGGTAGCAAAGAGGTTTTTGGCAATTGACCAATCAAAGGGGACGACTCTCCGCCGGCGGCCCGACAGCCAATCAGAAGAGAGCTCGCTCCGACTGGCCCCGCCCCCTCGGAGACTATTTCTTTAATCCGAGGCGGCGGTGGAGCAGTCTGCAAGACCGAGCGCTCTGCTGGGTTTTGTTGCAGTCCTTCCCCGAAACGGTGCAAACAAGGTGTAACATGGCGAACTCGGACTTCGAAGGTCATGCAGGCCAGGAGGGAGAAAATTTCCTATACTTCGCGTACGGCAGCAACCTGCTGACGAAGAGGATCCACCACCGAAACCCCTCGGCCACGTTCTGCTGCGTAGCCCGCCTGCAGGTCGGTGTCCCCGCTCGGGCCCTGCCCGCTGTGCACTCTCCGGGCCGGGATCCTCGGAACGCAGCGCTTCCTGGGAGAGTGCGTCAGGATGCCTGTGGTGCCCTGGCTTCCAGTGTCCAAGTTCCTGGCCCTACGCTGGACCCCTGTGGACCGTGTGCCGGTCAGCTGGGCCCTCTCGGCTGCCCCCCTAACACACGACGTTTCCATCTGCTGCTGCCCACAGCACTGTTTCGTCCCCCTCTTTTTAGCCTCCAACTTAAGGGCATCTTTCAGAATGCACGCAGTGGATACTTCTGAGAAACCCTAAGTTTTGTGCATCCTGAGTTACGGGACTTGTCACCTGCTATTGTAGAAATGTGTTTACCTGCCTTTCCTCTACTCAGAGGTCCAGGAAGTTGGAACCGTGTATTCATAGTGACCACTGTGCTCAGTTAGGTTAGGTGGCTGAACTTTAACCAACCTGGTAAATCATTAAATGTACACAGGTTCTTCTGACGCTTAACATTACAATGGTAATCGCGTTTCTACTTTGTGAACTGCCCAGGCTATAGGAGGGTTGTGCAGAAAGTCAGTGTACCTCTTCATAGCATTGAGCTAAACAAACATTATCTCTGCTAACCTGGTCAGAGTTTTTAGTTGCAAGCAACAAAAGTGGCTGATTTCAGAAAAAAAAAAAAGGTGTTGAAAGGAAAGTCTGTTGGAGAGTTCACAGAATGACCAGAAAAGCAGGAGTACAAAGCTGACGAAACAGGCAGGCATAAAGGGAGATGCAGCCACCCCAGTACAACCAGCATTGCACAACCGAATCAGCCCAAGCTGTTGAAGAACTGGACTCGGTGAGCATGGGTGCTGTCTTGCATGGCCAACGCCATCTTTTCTCAATCCTGTCTGCTGATGTATGTACTGCATCCCTAAAGTTCCTGAAACCCCTGATCTGTCGGCCACCACCAGGCAACTTCTAGTTCAGAGCTCCAGGTGGGCATCCTGACTAGCTAAATCTCACTGCGTAGCCATGGGCTGCCTCCAAGCAAATCTGAGGGAGACAGCTTCTGTGACCTTTGTGAAGCTTCAAAAATGGGAGTCAGGCTCCAGTACTTCCTTTCCCCAAACTCAGGGAATGACCCAGGTGTAGGAAAGAAGTTCAGATGCTTCTAGTCAGAGCAGGGAAAAGAGACATCAAACAAATGATTATTCCGTTTCTGGGATGATCAGTCTTAAAAAGGAGATGAGCAAGGTGCAATAGAATATGACCAGAGGACCTGACCTAACCAGGATACTCAGTAAAGCTCTCTGTGAAAATGAGACTTTTTGGGTGCAGTCTGAGCGACTGGGGAGTGGGGGTGCAAACACACCATGGAAAAAGCATGTGCAGAGGACCTGAGGAAAGGGGAAACTGAATCAGTCTTGCAGACAGTGTGACTGGAATGTAGTGAGGGAGATATGGTGTGTGGGCCACAGAGGACAAAGTTCAGATTTACATCTTTGAAAGTACTCTCCCGTCTCTATGGAAAATGGGTTTGAAGGAGGACAGTCATCAAACAGAGGGAGCTCAGGAAGTGTTTGCAGCAGTTCATGCCAAAGAGAATGACACCTTAGACTAGGGTGGTGGCCAGGGAAGGCGGATAGATTGGAGAGATATTAAGAAGATAACATTGCTAAAGCTTGGTGACTGAGTGTGAAGGGAGGAGATATCAAGGATGACTCAAGTTTTTGTACAAGGCAGATGATGGTGTTATTTACAGAGAGTAGAAAATCAAGTTTCAGAGAGAAAAATGGTAAGTTCAGTTTAAACATACTGAGTTTGAGATGTTTGCTGAACAGAAAATACTAGTTAGCATTGGTTCACTACTGTACTTGCTCTGTGCTAGACCGTTCTCTAAGCCCTTTTGAAGCTCAGAAGAGAGGTGGGCTGGGTCTAAAGATGATGGAAGCATTAGATGCTATTTGAAGTCTCTGAAGAGGATGAGATTGTCTTGGGTAAATTGCTGAATGAATACAAGGGACTATGATGAGCCCTGAGAAACTCCAACATTTAAAGCTCGGTACTGGATGAAGAGTTGGCAATGGGAATGGAGACCAAGGAGCAGCCTGCAAATGAGAAAAGGGGGGAAATAGCAGCACTAGCCATGTCCCAAGCAGCTGAAACTGTGGAGTAAGAGTCCCTAATGTGGGTTGTAACTCTTGATTGGATCTATTGATGTCCTTCCAGGAGTGCCTGGTGCTACAACATCTAGTGTGCCGACTGAAGGTCCTGGTCAACTGTACAAACTTTTTTCCCGAAATACGTGATGGATTTTTGAGAATATGTAGGATATAGGGATATAATATGAACCTGGAAGGGAACTTAGAGTTATCATCCATTTCTAGGGAATTAAGCTATGCAAAGGTAGAAATCTTCCTAGATCCAACAAACCAAATAAGAATTTTTAATCTTCTCCAGGAGCCTCATTCCCTGATTCCTGCCTCAGAGAGAAGAAGCAAAACTAGAAACATGGCTCCATTGCTTATTAGCCGTGAGACCTTTGGCGAGTGGCTTAATCTTTCTAAACCACAGTTTTTCTCACTGTTGAATGAGTATAATAAAGTTGCTGTGGGAAGAAAGGGAGCTAGCTAGTCCACTTAACACTCATAATACAGTGATTACACCCATTAATTTTCAGTATTATCTATTCTCAGGGTCATTATAGATAAATTAGTACAGTTCATGAATATTTATGTTCATCAGTATTCAAATCACCCTCAAATGCCAGTTCTCTTATGGCAAATACGGTGATACATGCTGGTGGGATTATAGACACAGAAAAGGTCTGTCCCTAAAAAATATATGTTCATGTAAGTAGATAGGGAAATCATTTGCAAAAATGAAAGCGGTTATGTTAAGACATTGGGGCTGTGGGTTTTCTTTTTCTTTAAGCCTTTTTAAGAAATATTAGGATGCCTGTACATACCAGTATATGTTTCATTTTTAAAAGAACAAATGAAAAAATAGTCCTTGAGATCTAGATCATTTATCTGTTTTTGTCTTTTCCATAGCTTCTTACAAAAAAGCTAAAGTTAATTGAATATTTTAATTGCATAGACTCAAAGTAAAGCCTTTTTATTTTGAAGAGGGAAATCTGGGTTCAAACAGATATTGCTCATATCATTTTGATTTCTTTTGTAGGATTTTAAGCTTGACTTCGGCAATTTCCAAGGCAAAACAAGTCAAAGGTGGCATGGAGGTATAGCTACCATTTTTCAAAGTCCTGGCGATGAAGTTTGGGGAGTAGTATGGAAAATGCACACAAGCAATTTAAATTCTCTGGATGAGTAGGTGATTTCTAATTTAAGTTTTAAAAAAACTAATTCAGAAAGTGAATTATATGTAAAGATGTGTGTATGTATTTGTGTGTTAGTTTCGCAAAACCATATACTGCAGACATTTTTTTATACTTCAGCATCAATACAGTGTATGATAATGTTGTTTTAAAACATTTTGAAGGGCCACTATGACTGAGACCTGGGGAGATGCTTGTAATCTCTTATGTGAAGGCTGGCAGGCTTTATTTTTTATTCTGTTAATTTGTCTTTCATAAAAATTTGTTTCATATTATGAAAAGACACGAAGATTTTTGTAATTGTTAAATATTTGTATTGATTTCAGAAGGAAGTTTATTCCGTTTTTTAAAACAATTCTTTAAAGTTGCAGTTGAATCAGTCAGTAAGTAATTTTTAAAAGCATCACCAACAACATACTGGAAATGTGTTTTAGAACTGGACCTGTCAGAGTTGTGTGGCGGAGCATTCGAAACAAGAAAATAAGCAGAAAAGAGTAGCCCTGGAGGAGAGAAGATCGTGTTAATTTAATGGGTTTGAGTCTATGCCTCACTTAAATCACAGTGAGCCGTCTTCTCTGCTTCTCTCCGGGCAGATGTAATCTTGATGTAAAAACACTTAGTCCAGTTTTGGAACCTAAAGAGCAAACAGTGTTTCAGGGTTATGAAGGTGGAGATAAGGACACTGACGGGTGTTTTCAGACAAGATAAATTTACAGAGATCTGTTAGAAGTTAAACTACAAATGCTCAAGTCCTCTATATATCAGTACAGTATTTGCATATAACCTACATCCTCCTATTTAATTTAAATCATCTGCATTATTTACAATAGCTACTATAATGTAAATATTATGCAAATGTTGTTATACTGTATTTACTTTTTTTTTTTCCTGGTACTGGGGATTGAACACAGGACCTTGCACTTCCAAGGCAGGTACAGCGCCACTGAGCTAAATCCCCAGCCCAAGAACCAATTTTAAAAAATATTTTCACAGGGCCAGGAATTTAGCTCAGCGGTTCCACTGTCTGCTTCACAAGCAAGCGCAAGATCCTAAATTTGATTCCTGGTACCAAAAAAACATTTTTTTCAACTGAATTTTGTTGCATCTTCAGATTAGAAACTAATGGGTCTAAAGGGCCGATTACAATATGGAGGCTCAAGCTTTCTAATTGAAATGCTAAGTTTATTTTTCATACGGTCATACTTATATGTTCTATTACATTCCAAACTACATAGGGAGCAAATACTTGCATAGAGTTAAATTGTTAATCCTTATACCCCAGTTTGATTAAAAGACCTTATTCAGTGAAGCAAGTTACTTAAGTCATGTTTGGTTAGAATTTGACTGTTCTGATTTCAGGCAAGAAGGAGTTGAAAGTGGAACATACGTTGTAATAGAAGTTAAAGTTTTGACTCAAGAAGGGAAACAATTAACCTGTCGAAGTTATCTGATGACAAATTATGAGAGTGCTCCCCCATCACCACAATATAAAAAAGTAAGTAATTCCTTTTTTTTTTTTTTTTTTTTTTTTTTTTTTTTTTTT